ACACACACACACACACACACACACACACACACACACACACACACACAGAGGCCCTGATAGTGATTTCCATTCTTCTCCATGGGACTATAGTACCGTATCCTGTACTACACATCAAACAACCCCTTATCCTCTAACAGCCTTTTTAGATAGATACAATTTTGGGCCACAGTTCACAGATTGGAGAATTGATTTCCCTACAAGATTGTTTTTTTGAAGAAGCATTCATAATTTAAAGCCAGATTTCTCTGATCTCCACTGTGTGTGGGAGGGGGTCACAGAAAGACAGAGTGTGTGTGCACATTGATGTACCCCATATCCTATCTTTTAGTGATAGCCAATCAAAAAACCCACAAACCATAAAAAAATCCATTGCTTCCTTAAAATAGAGATGATTTCCTTAAAGACTTGTGAGTTTATCTGTTTATTCCTCGTGATTACTCTATGCTACTGGCTTTTCATTCTTACTCTCCCATCCTCCCACTATCTATTTTAGAATAACTATAATTGTGCCACTTGCTGTAACCAGAACAGCCACACACTGCTTTCCACTGAACATTTGGTTTTCATTTAAAACTGCTCTTTCAGAGTTAGCAATAATAATGTGGACTGTGAGCCTCAGGCATAGTAGACTCTTTCGTAGTGATGCTGGGTGGATGTGAGTAGCATCCTGAGACTCAAGTTCATCCAGAGACTGAATCACTTGCAGACAGTTCTTGTAATCTGGATAATTTCTTATATAAAAAGGAGGTTATGCAGCATCTTTGTTCCATGACATTTTGTCAACACAAAAGTCTTATGCAGGTAACCACATAATTTGTTGGGAGAACCCTGAACATGTTGCAAATTTCACAGAATTCTGGCTACTTTGCCTGGTTTTTCTGAGATATATCAGCTTCTCTTTTGGATTAACAAAATTTGTATATGTTTATAAAATCTTATGTAATGTCTGAATCCATACATATATTGAGTATTCTTTAAATCAGGCTAAGCATTATTTTTTTTCTAAAACATCTTCCATTCATTATACCTATGCCTTAAGGACATTCAAAATCTTTTTTACTGCCTTTTGAAATACACATCATATTATTATTTAATGTTTTAGTCCCACACTAAAATTTATGCATCTTTAAGATAATTCATAAAATTAAGTGATTTCAGATTTACAGTCAAAGTTACAAACAGAATGGTTGACATCTGAATGAAGTAATGGTGGAAATCACTGGTGTAGTATTTTCCAGGTAGTGGATTATGCATTATCTGAGGTACACATCACAAAGGAACAGTGGGATGAAGAGAATCTGTGTTCTGTACAGGGAAAGCTGTGGCAAGGAGTACTATGGGATCTCCTAAAGTCCCAGTGGGAATGGCAGGATCTTACCTACAGCTGGTTTGTGTCAACATCTCTACTCTTAGTATAGTATAGTATAGTATAGTATAGTATAGTATAGTATAGTATA